GAGCAGCTGTCACTGGTGACTCCAGGCCACCCGTCCCCGGGGTTATTGCAAAAGCCTCCTGGCATCAGACTTCCCAGCCTTGAGCCTTACCCTGTGCAAATCCATGCTACACGTGAGACCAGGCGGATCTGTCTAAGATTCAAGTGCAGTCACGCCCCCCGCCCCCTTTAATCTCTTCAAAGCTTCCCTATTTCTCTTAGGTAGGGTGACCTTAATTTATTATCCAAATGGAGATACTTATTTATTAACTTACTAGAGGCCTGGTGCACGAAATTCGTACACTGGAAGGGGGAGGGGTGTCCCTCAGCCCGGCCTGTGCCCTCTCGCAGTCGGGGAGCTCTCGGGGGATGTCCGACTGACGGCTTAGGCCCGCTCCCCACCATCAGTCGGACATCCTTAGTGCTGCCTTGGAGGCGGAAGAGGCTGTGATCCTGGCTTCTGGCTGAGCGGCGCCCGCATCCTTAGTGCTGCCTTGGAGGCGGAAGAGGCTCTGATCCTGGCTTCTGGCTGAGCGGCGCCCCCCCTGTGGGAGCGCAGTGACCACCAGGGGGCAGCTCCTGTGTTAAGCGCCTGCCCCCTGGTGGTCAGTGTGTGACATAGAAACCAGTCATTTCGCCACATCCTTAGTGCTGCCTTGGAGGCGGAAGAGGCTCTGATCCTGGCTTCTGGCTGAGCGGCGCCCCCCCTGTGGGAGCGCAGTGACCACCAGGGGGCAGCTCCTGTGTTAAGCGCCTGCCCCCTGGTGGTCAGTGTGTGTCATAGCGACCAGTCATTTCGCCGCTTGGTTGATTTGCATATTAGCCTTTTATTATATAGGATGTTTGACCAATGACTTTGATATGGTGCAGTGCCGATCCCAAGCGCACAGTGAAATGAGTTCTGACTGATGCCTACACCTGTGTAACCTACATTCCTTTCACGATACAGACTGTTTCCTATCATTCCAGAAAGTTCCCTCATGGTGATTCCTGGTTACTTCCTGTGCCCCCAACCCACCCCTACAGCCCCAGACTACCACTGTTCTGAGTTCCATCACAGTAAGTGATAACAGTCGATCTGTGGGTGTCGAACCATCCTTGCCTCCCTGGGGAATAAATCCCACTTGGTCGTGTTGAATGATCCTTTTCATGTATTGTTGAATTCAGTTGGCTAATACGTTGTTGAGGATTTTTGCATGTATGTTTATCGGGGGTACTGGCCTGTAGTTTTCTTTTTTGTGTGTTGCCTTTGTCTGGTTTTGGTACTAATATCAGTCATGCTGGCCTCATAAAATAAGTTTGGAAGCATTTCCTATTCTTCATTTTTTGGGGGAGGAAGAATTTGGGAAGGAATATTTATAGACGGCAGGGTCTTATCGTGTAGGACTGATCCACCCATGCAAGCAAAACTCTTGAAATTTACATGTCACCAGCACAGTTGTTTTTGTGGGTTTTTTATAGCACAATGTGTTGGCTTCATGGCCGCTATTTGCATCTTCCAACCATAAACAAATTCCCTTAAAAATGTCGATAGAGAGAAATAACTTGACCGGAGTCAACAGCCTCCACAGCTTCTCGTGTCGGCTTTCACGGTGTCCTGCCGTGACCTCCCTAGTTTCAGGGGGAAGGAGGAAAGAGAACTGTTTCCCCTGGAACGATGACAGGAGAGTCAGAACCAAGAGAGAGGTCCCACCGTGGGCTCGGCTTCTCCGACGGTCATTCTTTGGTTCAGGAGTGGCTTTGACCTTCGGCGGCTCAGACAGAAGGAGAAAGCCAGCAGGGGGGCTCCTGGGGAGGGTTCCCCCACCGATGAACACGCTCCTGGCCAGAGATGCTTCTAGGGGCTCAGCTGTGACTGCAGGTCACGTGTGGAAGTCCGGCCGCTCATTTTGTGGCCCTGCGTAGAGGTAGCCGAGGGCACGGCCAACCCAGTGGGGACAGCAGAGCAGGAGGACGAAGACTCCCGAGCCCTCAAGGAGGATGTGGGGTCAGTGTGTCCCCAAGAACAAGTCTGTCTGCCTTGTCATCGGGCCGACGTGGTGGAGTGCAGACCCTGATGCTGTCCGGTGCTTAGAGATGATACGGACGCTCAAGTGTGTTTTGAAAAATCCTCCCAATGGATGGTTATACTTCTTTTTTATTTTATTTTTTAATTGATTTCAGAGAAGAAGGGAGAGGGAGAGAGAGATTTAGGGCCTGTGGCGTTATTGAGCTAGAATTAGGAGACACGTTTGACATTTTCAGCTTAAAAAAAAAAGTAGATTCTTCAATGCTTGTTTCCCCTGTCAGTGGATCGATTCATAATGCCGGATGGTAACCTCGGAGGACAAGGATTGAATCCACCGTGGCCACCCCCACAGTGGACTCCCTTTTTCTCTCCCAAGATCCACTTGATCCTCATCCTGACGGGGACGGGGACGGGATTGAGGCCCACAGAGGCAGCGTTTGCTTTTTGTCAGCCCTGCGCTCGCTGACCCGATCGTGGAGGTGTTGTTTGCGGGGTGCGTGCCGTAGACGTGTGACTGCCCGTTCCATTTTGCTGTTTGTTCATAATGGACGTTCCCTTTCCTCCTTTTCGGTATCTTGGTTTTTAACGTCGTCGTGTGTTCTCTCCATATAAAAATAAAATAGTCCAGAGAGCTAAGAGGATTTTGCAAACCCAAATCGTTTTTCTCGGTTAAGGAAATTGGGTGTTTTGTAAAAAAAACCACCAAAAAACCCAACAACAACCAAACAAAAACCTGTAGAAAACAGGGGAAACTAACGTTTGAAGAGTATTACCTTAAACCTTTACATCATCTGTGGGTGCCGGCCTGGAAGTGTGTGTGTGTGTGAGACCCCAAACATTGTGGAGTGGAAAGATCAGACTGTATGAACACTTCCAATCAACGCAGAAGTACAACTTTTAATTAACAGTATTGGTAAAAGCCTCCCCCCAAAACGAATTGCATGTGTCCTTTTCTCCCTCCAATATTTTCTCTCCCTCCCTCTACCTCTTTCTCCCTCTCTCTCCTTCTCCCTTCCCCTCTCCCCCCCCCACCTCTCTCTCATTTTTTTTTTTTAACTTCAGTGTGAATAGCACCTGTAATTAAGGCAGAAACAGGAGCCCAGGGAGCTCGGGAGCACTCCCAGCTATTGATCTGAGTGAGCCCGGCTTCCCCTGTCAGGGGAGACACAGGCCACTGCTGGGCGGCTTTGTCACCGACAGAAGCGGAGAGGGGCTTTTTTGTCTGGGCTGTTTATGTGCTGGGCCGGGGGCCTGCTGGCTGGTTGAATTTTAAAGAGCGCCGCGGTTTAAAGGCTTGTCCCCCGAGGCGCGCTTCTGCCAGTTGGGAAGCGAGCTGAGGCTGTGTTGCAGCAGGGCCTTCGTGTGTGCCTGTGTGTGCGTGTATGTGCGTGCGTGTGTGTGTGTGTGTGTGTGTGAGAGAGAGAGAGAGTTGCTGGTGGAAGGAGGGGGGTGGGTGTGAAAGATGAAACCTCTAAGGGGAGAACCTTCTTAATTTGAGCCTTAAAATTGATGTGAAAAAAAAATGGATGTGAAATTGATTCCTAATTTTGGTATATTTAGAAGCAGACAATGAATTTTGTATCTGTCATCTATCTATCTATCCATCCGAGCACAGACACTATATACATGCATTTTTGAGATAATTTTTGAATTATGAATATGAACTAGGTATCAGATAATTAAGGGATTATTATGAATTCTTTTAGGTGTGATAATACCTATATCTATCTCTATCTTACCCATCTTATCTATCATCTATCTATTTTTCTATCTATCTATATCTATCTATCTACCATCTATTTTTCTATCTACCATCTGTCTGTCTGTCTGTCTGTCTATCTATCTATTTTTCTGTCTATCTATCTATCATCTATCTATCTATCTATCTATCTACCATCTATCTATTCTTCTATCATTATCTATTTTTCTATATATCTATCATCTGTCATTATCTATTTTCTTTCTATCTATCTATCATCTATCTATCTATCTATCTATCTATCTATCTATCTGCCTATCTTCACAGAAGTGATAGGCCCTTTTGCAGGGAAGGGTCTCGATCGATGGTGTTCATGGGGCAGTAAGTGTGGTCAGTGGCTTCGCTGTCACAGCACAGCTGAGGATGCGCGAGGGCCCCTGAACTGCTCTCATTGGCACAGTCCGGTTCCGGTTCAGTCATTTAAATGGTTTCAGGGTTATCCGTGTGCTTCTCATTGCACTTGGCAGAACGTTGCCAGGAGTAAAACCGTTCGCTCCCCCAGATGCGGGTCCCACTTTCCCAGGCCTACCTTCCTGCGCGGGCCCCGCCCTGGGGACAGAGGCTGATATTCTACGGATGCTCTTCTCTCGGCCTCGGGAACCGGGGTGCTGGGAGCTCTCTTAGGCCCCAGCGTTGGGGTTCACAGTGTTTTATTTCTCACGGGAACCTGACCGCCCTCCACATTTTAACAGAGCGTGAGAGGTTCTACTTTAGAACACACTCTCCCCCGTTCCATATAGGGTTTAGCTGCTGGGAGATGGATGGTTTCTCGGGGTGTACGTTTTAAGGGTAAAGAGGTCACAGGGAAGGTATTTTGGGGGGCGTGCAGGGGCTGTGGCTACTGCATGAAGATATTGGTCCTTTTTTAACAGGAAAAGGCTCACGAATCCCTCGCAACACCCCCTGGCTTCGAACTTGTCAGATGTTCTCTCTTCCATTCTGAGGTTTAAGCGAAGGACTCAGACGTCATCTGAAGCTGGTTTTCAGATGTGACAAAAACAGGCCTTTTTCCTATTTGGGGCCGAACGGCCGAGCATTTAAATATTTGCATTCTGTTCCAACTGCGCGCGCGTGTGTGATTTCTGGACGCCTGGAAAATTATTTTAGAACGAATGAAAGCTCAAGCGGGTTCCAGCCTGAATCAGGCCGCTCTCTACGCTTATTGCGAATCTTGATTTTCACAGGGGCTGCCTAGAAGCTGTGCTGCTTTAGGCGGAAAGGCTGGGTTTTAGACAGACACGGGGGGTTTCATTCGAGCTATAACTCGGGGCGCCTGCCGCCGAGTTTCCCAGGGTCCCATCAACGTGTTTCTTTGGCTGCAAAGTCTCTCTCTAAACCGCTCCCCGGTGGGACAGGCGGCCCTACCTCCCAGTAATTCATTCTGTCCCCCCCCCCCACCCCACCCCTGGCCCCGCCTGCATTTTAATTGAAACAACATTTCTATTTCTGCGCCAGGACCTGTCAGAAGTCCCCGTGGCCGGTCTGTGGGACCAGTAGCCTCCCCATATGGCGCGGGCGCTTCTTGTAAAATCCATATGGCCTTGCTGAGGGGACCGCAGCGGGGATGTGAGGGGTGTTAATACCCTTCAGGCCAGACCTCTCTGCCGCCGAGGGCCCCGGGCCATTGTCCCTGCAATCTGCCCGCACACACCCCTCCTTCCTTCTTAATAATCAATTAGGTCGTCGCCCAACCTGGGCCGTTCTGCTTAAGAAATGAACCCTTTTATTTTACGTTTTTCCCTCTCCACACCCCCCCCCCAGCCCCCGCGATGTCTCAGAAAAGTAAATTAACTGCGTCTTTATACGCATCCTAAAGCTTTTATTTGTTTGTTTTTCTGATTTGCCTTGGCAGGAAGTCCTGAAGAGCGTGCCCAAGTTCTGTTTCCCCTTCGACGTCGAAAGGTACGTCTGAGCCATCGCGGAAGTCCCTTTACCCATCTCCGTGAGGACGTAGAAACGATTACATTTAAAAATAAAAATACAGTGAAATGTCCTTTCTCTTTATCGCCTCCAACAACAGCAACAGACGGTTGGCTCAACATGAAGTCATACCTGGCAGGAGGAAGGCTTTCCATCCCCGAGACCTGTCGTCTCCCCCCCTGTGGCCGGTTAGGACACGACTGAGGGTTCCATTTCTCCCTTTTTGTGCTTCAGGGGCACCGTCTTAATCAGACCTTATCAGAGCCTTAGAAGGGCGTCTTTTACAATTGGACGGACACGTCCCGGCCTCTGTTCCTCCCCCCGTGATTGAAAGGGCCGTCTGTGTGACGCTGTGAACCTGGCCGCGAGTTGTCCCTCCTGAGAAGAGCTCTGTAGAAACAGGGCCCCGTCCACGGGATGCCACGGGGAGCTCCCCGGGCCCGTCTGAAAGTCTCACGCTGTGTGTATTGTGCTGGGTACATCCCTGGGTGCCGTGGGAATGTCGCAGGGTGCCCGGCCTTTTGAGCACAATAGCAGATCATTGATTATTTTTCATGGGGGTTCACACCCTATTATCAGTGGTGTGTGTTTTTTTTTTAAGAACCGGGTCGGAGAGGATTCTAAATGAAAAGATATTTTAGGAAAATATTTCACTTAGGATGAGTAAAAACCTAAACTTTTACTATTATATTTTTTACTGATTTTTTACAGAGAGGAAGGGAGAGGGATAGAGAGCTAGAAACATCGGTGAGAGAGAAACCTCCATTAGCTGCCTCCTGCACACCCCCCAATGGGGATGCGCCCGCAACCAAGGTCCATGCCCTTGACCGGAATCGAACCTGGGACCCTTCAGTCCGCAGGCCGACGCTCTAGCCACTGAGCCACACCAGCCAGGGCCTGCCCTCGCTTTTCTATGTGGCCGTCCTTGCCCAGGGCTGAGTTGCGGGCTGTGCTGTGTTCCAGGGTGTCTCAGAACCAAGTGGGGCAGCACTTCGCCTTTGTGCTGACGGACATCGAGAGCAAGCAGAGATTTGGCTTCTGCAGACTCACCTCCGGCGGCAGGATCTGCTTATGCATGGGTGCCGTGGGAATGTCGCAGGGTGCCCGGCCCTTTGAGCACAATAGCAGATCATTGATTGTTTTTCATGGGGGTTTCACACCCTGTTATCAGTGGTGTGGTTTTTTTGTTTTTTTGTTTTTTTTTAAGAACCGGGTAGGAGAGGATTCTAAAC